CCTTTGCCCACCGCTATACCATGTCCCATACGACCCTACCGTGTTTCCACCTGCTCGTCCTAGGTCCTAGAGGTATCCTCGACGCGTCCATGCTCGCTTAAAGTGCCTCATCACGCGGTACTGCAGGCCGACCACGTGCGGTTTTAGCTCCGGCCGTTTGCTGACTGATACGTTCCGTCCGGCCGTCGATTTACGTCCGCTGACTCGGTCGCGTTGACGGAAACGAAGGGGCGTGATGACTGGGGAGTGGTAATACCAATGACTCACTGCGACGCGGGCCTCCGCCGTTCCCGGAGATAATTAGTTATGAAAGTATTCTTCCGGTTGACTTCGGAGCGTCTGGCTGCGGAGATAAATCATATTGTTGATCTGCGCCTGCCTTGAGGACGTTAGAAGGTCCGGAATTAAATCCAGAACCCTTCGCCGGTTACTTGTAGCGTAAGCAGTTCGACAGGTGGTGTCGAATAAGCTTTGGAGGGGATGTACGATGTGTCAATCTCGCAATTTCTGGGGTCAGAAGATCGTTGGGGCTTATCACCGGTTCCCGAACCTGGGAGAACCGGTTCGAACCTCGAACCGGACCCAGGTTCTGCTCCGCGGTTCGGCTTTGGGGTGGACCGAACCTGAAATGAGGTCCAGGTGGAGCCACAATGCCCGAACCGTACCTAAATATGGTAATTTTGAAGGGTTCGAACCCGAACCTGACCGGACCCAACGCCATTTCGGGTTCTTTGAGGTTCACGGTCCGGACATTTACCCGAACTGGACCTTGGGTCTGGTCCCAGGTCCGGAAATTTGGGCCAATAACCGGACCGAGCCGGACCGCGGCATCACTACTGCTAATGTGCTCATCAACTAGTAGTTGATGAGCACATTAGCAGTAGTGATGCCGCGGTCCGGCTTCATGTGAGCAATCTTCCACAGTGTCTGAGCAGCCCTATTGCGTCTGATAATCACATACACCCCCGTGCAGTGGATCATGCCTATCTGAAGTCCATCTTGACCAGGCCCATCCACAGAGTGATCGACGAGGACAACATTGACCTTGAAATCAACATGGCCAAGGTCTGGCATCTCCTGGACTTCCGATGTGGGTCTTGCCTTGATTGATAGCAGCACTAGGTCGGGGATCAGGTGTTCCAACAGTTAGAGGGAGCCGGAGGCCCAAATGCACTTTCCACAGCTCCCTCGGAATCCTCGGATATTAGAGCTTCAGACAAAGATCTGCAAGCTATTGTGGCAGAACAAGCTACAAAGCTGCAAGAAATAGTGGGTCGATGCTTAACTGCTATAATCAATAGGAAGGAGGATATCCCTCACAGCATACAGTGGATATGCAGGCAAATACAAAGCCTGTTGCATGTAGGAGACTATGTTTGGTGGAGTGAAAGACATAACTTACCCATGATAAAAAACACCGGAAATATCCTGATGCTCAAGAGGACTCTGTGACCTCTCTTGTTGGAAGCTTCTTTTCCCCTTTGGTGGATCAACCCTGCTATTGTCACGCTGCAAGCCAATCAGCTTATAGAAGGTGTAGCACCCAATCACAAAGGACCTTGAGACTGGAAGGAGCAACAAAGACCATATGAGAGTCACTGCCGCATCTACTTGCGTGCTATGGGTAGCAAAAAATGCTCCAAAGTATGGTTAATAAACCATTGTACGTGAAGGAGCCTTACATGGAACAACTTCATCCATTTATTGAGAAGACTAAATCTCAGATGACTGACTTTCTAGAGAACATCTGCAACATCAATGATATAGGCAGTCCATCTGCAGTAAGCGTGCTGTTTGAGTCTACTAACGACTGGCTTGCACAGGACATTCCAACAACGTTGAGCAATAGCATCCACATATCGTGTAACGAGTTGTACAATACCCACAGGCTCACGTCAAAGCATATCAAGGAGCTAGTGAGTTGCAAGACCAGACAGTGTGTTCATGGTCACTAACCTATGCCCAGGAGTCACACATTGGAGGAGAATTGCGGAGCATCCTCGATGAACTCGGCCCTGCACCTGCTCATTTGCCCAGGAGTGACAATAGAGAAGTGGCCTTGCACCTATCCCGTTCCTGAGCACCTTGTTCATTGGTGTATGACTGCTGCAGTCCCTTGTCATCGGCCGAAACCGTCCCGGGAGTCCAAGCCGTCAGAAGTTAGCTATGTCCTCAGACAGTGCATAACTCTTACACCATTACCTGGCGACTTCTCGCGATGTGGCAGGCGTGGATACGACACTTGTTTGATCCGCTTGACTCGGTGAAAGACTTCCGGTGAGGAGACCGTAGGAGACATCGGACGTCCCAACGTCCAGTCATAGCCCATACTGCGCGTAAGATTGTTGTCATAGAAGATACCTGTACAGTGATCATGCCGGAGTACTGGCTCGAGGCGCCCCCCTTGACAATATTGGAAATGGCTTATGCGGGTTGCTGTGGCGTTTGTAACACAGTGCAGGCAGCTGCGTGCTAAGATATTTCTTCAGACAGGCTTATTTTATTGACCAGAGATAATCGTCTCAGTTTTTCTCAGAAGCAGTGGGGTCCTCGTGCTGTGGTTAGTGGACGCCCTTGAGTCGTAAATGGGTGGAACTACGGTCAGTTATCGGCGACGAGAGACGGATCGTGATTGCTCCTAGTCTAAGACTTTGCGCACTTGGTGAAAGACGAGATGGCGACCGATATGGACTGTGCCTAGGGCAGTGCTGAAATAGAGCGGTCTTTAGCAAAATACACAGACTGAGAGTACTGTACAGAGGATGAAGCAGTGAAATTGGCAAAAGGAGGGGTGGCAGAAGCCGAACATCAAACTTCGTCGCGTCCGACGCATCTCTCGTCCGACCGTTGCCTCCGTCTCGCCGCAACCCCAGCTCCTCTGGCCACCGCCCATCCTTGCTTTTTCTTCTTCTAATATTCCTGCAGAGTCGACCGTATTTGCCTGGCTGCACGCGCTGGAAACGCATCGGTCTACTTGCGACGACTTCTGCCTATAAATCTGTTCTGAATCCCAACCCTCCGGCTGATCTATCACTGGCACGACTGTTCGCATCCGTTCTGTCGATTCGTTTATAGCTAGAGTGCCTACATCATGTCCTACGTCGAAGCCACCTCTCCCTCGGGCAGCATGTCCTCGAGGCGATTAACCAACCGAAACACGAACCGCTACAGCGTCACTGCCCTATTTAGCATGGCCGCTGAGCAGGATGCCGACGTAGACGATGAGCTGGCGAGAGGTACGCGTGGCGCCCGGTGAAGTCGGCTTATAAATCTCATCTTTCGTAGCCCAGAAACGATTGAGGGAGCTAAAAGCTCGCATATCCGCCCAGTCCAAAAAGAACTTTGTGCTCGAGCGCGATGTGCGCTACTTGGACTCTCGGATCGCTCTTCTCATCCAGAACCGCATGGCTCTTGACGAGGCAAGTATTGAGTAGGCTGTTGTCGGTATAGGTGGTCTAATCTCGCTGGCAGCAACATGAGGTGGAGAAGCACCTCGAAGAGGTCGACCCAACAGAAGGGCACTACCCTGATGACCGTAAACTCCAGCAATACTCCAACCTCTTCTTCCTATTACAATCCGAACCCCGCCACATCGCAGCCTTATGCCGTCTTGTCAGCTTATCCGAGATCGATACCCTCCTTCAGACCGTCATGTTCACACTATATGGGAACCAGTATGAGAGCAGGGAGGAGCATCTTCTGCTAACAATGTTCCAATCCGTGCTATCCGCGCAATTCGAGACCGCCACGGAGTTTGGGTCGTTGCTACGAGCGAACACTCCGGTATCTCGGATGATGACCACTTATACGCGGCGTGGGCCCGGTCAGAGTTATCTCAAGAGCGTCTTGGCGGATCGAATTAACAGTCTGATTGAGCACAAAGCGCTCAACTTGGAGATCAACCCTGTCAAGGTGCGTTAGTAGCCTATTATAGCGGCTGCACCTCCTCATCCGCCATCAGGTTTATGAGCAGATGGTAAACCAAATCGAAGAGGATACAGGTTCACTACCACCGAACTTACCTCGCGGTGTGCCTCCTGAGACTGCGTCGGCGAACCCAGACGTCCAGACCATCATCGCCCCTCGACTAACGATGCTCATGGAAATCGCCAATAGCTTCCTGCTGACCATCATCGACAGCTTGGAGAGTGTTCCATATGGTATTCGTTGGATATGCAAGCAGATCCGGAGTCTGACGCGGGTACTTATGCATTTCGTAGTCGTCAATACCATCTAACGAGCGTTGCTTCCATTGTCCAGAGAAAATATCCTGATGCCACGGATCATGCCATTTGTTCGCTCATCGGTGGCTTCTTCTTCCTCCGATTCATCAATCCTGCTATTGTCACTCCGCAAGCGTACATGCTCGTTGAAGGTGTACCGGCCAAGCATCCTCGTCGGACGTTGACGCTGGTGCGTTTCACGCTCTTGCGCGATCGCGATATTGCATACTGACCATATCCCAGATTGCGAAGATGCTCCAGAACCTTGCGAACAAGCCCTCCTATGCCAAGGAGCAGTACATGATGACATTACATCCGTTTGTGGAGAATAACAAATCTCGCATAAACCAGTTCTTAAACAACCTTTGCGAAGTCGGAGACTTCTACGAGACGTTGGAGGTATGTGAAGGTCTATATTGCACCGATCGTCATCTCAACTGCGTGTTTGCAAGATGGACCAATACATGGCACTATCCAAGAAAGATCTAGTGATCCACATTACGCTCAACGAAATGTATAACACACACTCCCTTGTTCTACAACACATTGAAACCCTAGTACGTATTGTGCCCGCAGTCGCGCCCCTTGATACTAACCATCGTCTCCAGTCTCCGAACGACAAGCAACACCTGCGCATCCTCACCGACGAGCTGGGACCTGCACCTCCACAAGTACCTCGGAAGGAGAATCGCACAATTGAGCTGCAGCTGTACAGTCGCTGGGAGACACCTATACAAGATATCCAAACAGCGTTGATGGACTCCGTTTCATCAAGCGACATGCTGTACATGGAAACGAAATCCATATTCGTCCAGCTCATCCGTTCCCTCCCTGGGGCCGCCGACAAGCGCCCATACAACCTCGCTGCTATCGCCGAGCGAGCGGCGACCACCAAGGACGCCACGCTCGTGCGGAAGGGTATCAAGGTGAAGGAGATGCTGCGGGAGCTGGAGGAGCTGAAGGTCGTCGACAGGTCGGACGGGTACAAGCTCATGCAGGAGGAGGTCGCGGCGGAGCTCGTGCATCTCGGTAACCTCCGGGAGAAGGTGCTGCAGGAGACTAAGTCGCTGGAGTCGGTGTATAAGACCATCGGCGACCACAATAACTATCTGCGGGGTCAGCTGGAGCAGTACAAGGCGTACTTGCAGAACGTCCGGTTGAACGCGTCGAAGGAGAAGGGGAGCACGACGGGAGTGGGCGTGGTCACTGTTGGCGGGAAGGAGCGGAAGCCGCAGAAAGCTGTCGTTCTTGGCCCATATCGGTTCACGCACGCTCAGTTGGAGAAGGAGGGTATCATTGTCGAGAGCAACGTTCCTGATAACAGGTATGTTCGGGACATTTTTATATGTAGATGTTGGCTCACGACTGTTTGCTGCAGGCGGCCCAACATCTACTTCAATATAACATCGCCGACGCCTGGCACCTTCATCATTGCGTTGCACTACAAGGGGCGGGATAAGGCCATTCTCGAAATGGACCTGAAGATCGACGATCTTCTTGAGAAAGTGAGCACTGACGTCTTAGTTCACGATAGAATGCTAATAGACAACGTCTATCATAGCAAAAGGACAACAAACATCTTCTCGACCTTGAATACGTGCAGCTCAACGTTCCCAAGGTACTAGCGCTGTTGAAAAAGGTGTTTGCCAAGCGTTGAGCAGAGTTGGCGCTGTCTTCTCCAATCCTCTGCTCTCTGTGATTCCCACCTTCGCCTTCCAGTACATATATTTGTTGTTATTTCTTCATTGCGGTACCCTCCTTGGATTTATTCACCTTCATTTTATTTTGCCTGATGGCTTGTACAGGGCTCTCCCTCTCTATTTTCCAAGCGGATGTATTATCTATTCTGTAGTCTGATGTTGTTCCTTCTATACCCTGGGCTCTGCTCGTAGAATACCTTGGTAATGATATGACGTCCGATATGGTGCCTTGTATGTTGTAACTTGTCCGGCGTACCACTGACGTACCGCCACCGTAGCCGAGGTTTGACAGAGAAGCTGCGGCCTGTGCTGTTGACATGTGTTTGTCCGATGTGGCTGCGAAGGCTGGTCAGGAGGCTTAATGCCGGCGCTGTTACCAACATAATTCAATAGACTCTATATTTACTGTACCATCCTTCACTGGCTCAGGCGTATGCGAGCACTACGCTGATTCTTCGCCGCTACCACCATGTTCGCGGTGTTGCTTGTCGTCTTGGTTGCCCTGCTCGATATTGCGAGCGCCGTCACCGCCGACAAGCGCGACTGCTGGTACGATGACTGTGAACAGCAGGTCAAGAGCTTCGAGAAGATCAACGTGTCCCCCTCCCTGCTTGAGGCCAGCAATCCTGCGAAAACTGGACTGCTCCCAGTAGCCTGGTCAGATGATGAACAGTGCGTAACCACATCCTGTCCGGTCTGCTGCTGCTTAAGTCTATCTTACAGGTCATATTATTCTGTGATTTCAGTGGGAAATATAAGTTTCCGCGTCGCACTGGACACCGGTTCCGCAGACCTATGGATCACCTCCTCTGCGTGCACGACGAGTGCATGTCATTCCGTCCCAAAATATCCGCTCACTTACCAAAGCCCCTCCTTCGCCTCCGTTAATGATAATAATACCGCCTTCTCGGTCAGTTTTGCTGATGGGACGGGTGCGTACATGACAGAGTCACCTTGCTGAACAAAGATTGATCTATTGTGCAGCTGCGTCCGGGTATGTCGCCCGGGAGAAAGTGCAACTGTCAAACTTGACGGTCCCCAATCAGGCCTTTGGTGCGTAGGCATCAGTAGAGTGCATGGAATTCACTCACCTCCGACCTCCAGGCATGGTGTCCCAGTCAAACGTCACGATGGGATCCCAAATGAGTGGCATCTTGGGTTTAGGTTTCCCGCGACTCTCAACAATATCCAATAACGTGGTCAACGGTATGTATGACTTTGATCGTATCGTTGGGTAATCTAAGAACGTCGATTCTCTTAGCGACCCCGTTCTTCGCGAGTTTATCTCAGCAAGGAATTGTTAATTACCCGTTATTTGGTCTGAGCCTGACACGAAATACGAGCGGCACTCTCACACTAGGTATTGTACTTGCGACCCTTTCGCTGGGATCGACATTAAATCAAAGCTCAGGTGCCATAGACTCATCGGTGGTAAAGGATGTGAGCCAGATAGAATGGAATGAAGTTGTGGCTTTTTCACCATTCGGGACGGAAAGGAATACCACCAGTTATCTCCAGTGGGCTATCCCGATGGGCAACATCCTGGTTTGTACCTAGCCTTCGAGTCCACCGTGCTACTGATCATCCCGTTCTACTTAAGGTGAATGGGTCTGCTATCACGCCTTCACCTACCTATCCCACTGCGTACTCGAACCAGTCACTAGCGCTGTTGGACGTGTATGTTCTATCATCTTATTGCACGCTGCCCTTGGCTGACACACTGCCCGACAGGGGCACTCCTGGGATCTATGGTCCCTATCAAGATGTGAGTTGACGCGCTTTGTTCCTACACAGTGTCTTATCCGTCGACAGGTGTCTAGCATATTTTCTGCTATCGACGGCAGCCGCCTTGTGGATACAAGTACGTCCCACATTTGCAAGATGCGCAGTCTCTTACTAACCACTGTATGATGTCACATAGAGGATGGCGGCCAGTGGGCTCTCCCGTGCGATGTCTCTGAGACAATTTCATTCGTATTCGGGTCAGCCGAGGTCTTTCTCCCATGACATGTTGCAATACTCAATTGGCGCACAGAACGACGAATTTCACGTTACAGCCTTCGGACTACCTGATTGGCCCGACATCTGGAAACCCGGACCTTTGCCTAGCATGGCCGAGGGCGTCTGCGCCTAGTTCGGACGGCATCGACTGGCAGCTGGGTTCACCGTTCTTGCGGACTGTGTATTCGATCTTCAGGTATTGTTCCTCCTCCCAATTCTTCTCCGGTGTGTGAGGCTGAGGCCATGCAGTTACGGTATTGACGCAAAAGAGCCGCCTATGATCGGACTATACCCCCGGAACAACGCCAGTGCCCCCGTCGAGTCGCCGCAGTATATTTCGTCCTTCATGTCAGCCGCCTCGGCCACCGTCGCCACCACGCTCCCAAATTACCTTCTTCCCACGCCGTCCTATAGCACCCCCCCGTTCGCGTTCAACACGTCTATCCCTGCATCCATCGGCCAGATTGTCACGTCCGATCTCGCGACGAGCACCTACAGCCCCATCCTTGCCACCCCCGCCGCACTGAATGTTACCGCCATACCCACCGTCTCGCCGTCGCCCACACTGCTCACCCTGATCATCACTGATACGTCGGGCGAGGTCCGGACGACGACATCGACTGCGTCGACGCCGTCCGTCACGCTCGGCGTGCCATACGGCTGGTCCGCAAGCGCAGGCTCGAGACTGCCTGTTCCTCTCTCTCGGACATTGCTTGCGTGCTTGTCATTGGTTGTATTAGTGCTGAGCAGCACATCATAACATTTATCTATATCATATCGTATCCCTCGTCTTGTCTGTCGTCGCACATCTCGTTCCATTACTGACTTTGCATCTCGGTCGCATATCATTTCGCCTTCTCGCCTTCTGTTATTATTATTATCCTGGTCGGACAACTTGTTGCCGTTCCTTTTTTCACTTTTGCCCCTTACCTCGATCGCCTCTCCCGTGGACTGCGGACTGTGCATTACTAGTAGATTGTCGATTGTTTTGTCTGGTCTGTGCGGTGTATGTCGCCCGGAACGAGCTTTGCATGACGGATGTAGTATCAATAATGATAAGTGTATTTCCAGTGTCTATCGCGGATAGGGTGGCTGCTATGCACTGAGGATCATAGCTCATCCTTTGACGAGTGTCCGCTCCCATGGAAGGCTTCTGATAGCTCTGGGATAGTGTAGGTTGTTAGCATCACATGCTGCAGACAGATGGGAACAACTCACTCTTCCGAAGTTCAGGACTTAGTTCTGTGGGAAGGACAAGGTTGTATTCTATGTAGAGGTCGCCGTGCTGTGAGGGGTTCTCGAAGCGGGGCATCCCCTCTCCTTTGATGGTCTGCACGTAACCTACAAGGATGCGTATGAGCTGACGACCGCTGAGCAAATATTGCTGGAAACTGACCTGGCTGGGTCACTCCCTTCCGCTTGAGCGGAACTATATGCCCGTCGAGATGGGTCAAGTTGTGCTCGAAACCCAGAAGTGCCTGCGCAGAGTCAATACCGGTAAGGTTCACTTTGAAAGCACACTCACCTCATCCACCCCAATCGTCTCTCGCCAGTACAAACTACTCTCCTTCCTCCTAAACCCACCCTTCTCCTTCCGACTCCTCACGCGAAGAATCACATCCCCAGGCTCCCAATCCGGGCTCTCATCGCCCTCGCCGTCAAACACGACCTCGTACCCCTCGGGCATGCCCTTGGCGACCTCGAGCGTGTAGTGCGCGGTGTGGTCGACGACCTTGGCGCCACCGCAGTGCGGGCACGGGCGCGCGATGACGGTGCCGCGCCCGCCGCACTCGTCGCACGTGTGCTGCGTCTGCGCGAACATGCCCGGGAAGATTTGTTGTTTAACGACTTTGACACCCGAGCCGCCGCAGCCAGTGCAGGGGCGCACGTCGTGCGAGGAGGCGGCGCCGGTGCCTCGGCAGTGGTCGCAGAGGATGCGTTTGCGCATGACGAACTACGTTTGGGGGAAAGGGTCAGAGTCGGAGTAAGTAAGAGGGGAATACACGCACGTCTATGCTTGCGCCGTTGTAGCTGGAGGAGTGTGTGTAAGCGCGGGCAGCGGGGATGTGGAGGGGAGCGGGGACGTACATGTCTGCTAGTGTGACCTCGAATTCGGTCAGGGATGTCGGCCCTCTGCGGACTTGTTGTTGGCCCTCTGACGGAGCGCGTCAGGGGGGACTGGAACGACATGGGAAGGGTACGTACGGCCGCCGCCGAAGAAATTCGAAAACATGTCGAAGGGGTTCGCATACTGTTGGCCGCCTCCGCTTTCGTGGGCTTTCAGGCCTTCCTGTGGATCGAGTAAGGAAGGCGTAGGGTAGTCACGTCTGGCGACTTACCTCGCCATGCCGGTCGTATATTTGGCGTTTCTAAAAAATAATGGTAACCACGCCAAGTGGAAAGGAGGTCATGGCTCACTGTCGGGTCAGATAGAACCTCGTATGCTGGATATGCCCCTGTTAGAACCAAACACATCATGGAGAGGCAAAGACATACCATGTGCGATCTCGACAAACCTGTCCTCCGCCCCCGGGTCCTTGTTCTTGTCGGGGTGATATTTCCGACTGAGGCGCTTGTACGCCTTCTTAATGTCGCGCTCATCAGCGGACCTGTCGACTGCGATGCGAGGGTGTTTCAATTACGATGTATGCACGGAGCGAGTGTGTGCGCGCCTTGGACTAACGTTCGAGTACCTTGTAGAGGTCCGCCGCCGCTGCGAGCGTCGCGAGGAGCAGCAATGCCAGGGCCAGCGCCCGTACAACGCAGAGCATGTCGGGCAAGACGGCAGGAAAGGAGCGGGATGGAAGGAACGAGTGTGTTTGTGGGACACGTCAATTAGCAGCGCGTATTCAAGACCCTCGGTCACGTGCACTCCTCTATTCCCCGGCCTCCAGTTTAGTGTCTGCTCGCCGTCGCGGACGATGTTCTCGCAGCGCAGTCGACTCTACGCATCGCTGAAGAAGGTGCCCCGTTGCTGCAGGCACTACTCCGATGCAGCGCCGGCATACCACCCCAAAGTCAGAGGTCCTGCTGTCCCCAATCCCGCCATGTTCTCCTTCTGACCTGTTCAACGCAGTCTACCCGTTCCGAGTCTCGCCAGATGATGCGGTTAGAGACATGTCCATCGCTGCCGCGCTCCCCGTTATCGGTCATTATTTCTCATCCTTGGTGGCCCGCTGGTTCCCCGCCCTCGGATTCGAGCCCATAAAGCCGGCCCTCCTCCAGCCACTGTACGTCCCGGGGTGGATGATCGACGCAGAGGTCACAGGGAACGCTTGGGTCACCTATGGGGAGGATACCACACAGGTGCGCGGCTTGTTCGCAAAGTGCAACCCGGGATGGGCCTGACATTTCTCCGGGGTAGCGGACGATCACGGCCCACGCCGCGAACTCGTAGGTGGATGGAACCGTACGTGCCGCCTATTCTGACTACTGCTCGCGATATCTCATCGTAGATACCTACCAGGTACGTGTCACGAGCTATCTTATTCTCCGTTGGTAACGCTGACATCCCCCGTCTGCAAGGCTTCTCCACTGAACCTCTCGCAAGGATCTGTCTGAACGACCCCAAGCTATACAGCCTCGAACCAGTACCATGGTCTCCAGAGTTGGAAACGCAATACGGCGTCAAGCCTCTCTGTTTACCGTTCACGCTTTCGCCTCTTGGCCTACTCGATGCGATTCGACGTCTTTCATATCGGGACGCTACCATCCACGATCATTTCAGGTTCGATCCCAGCAGTGTCAGAGCCAACCTGGTTTGCATCTGTTCACCGGCAAATCACCCTTCTTGTGTTAATTTGCGATAGCTTGCAGCCTACCCCATCTTAATACCAGTATACCTCGGGAGATACGACTACGACCTGGGGACCGAGAAGATCTCAATCACCGTAATTCTAGAGGCGTCTCACCAACAAGTACGTACACCCTCTTAGCATCTTCCTTCACACCACACTTAGACTTACTTGCATCGCCAGGGTCGCGTCATCGCCGAGAACGCCCTCCCCGTCCTCTCCTCCTATATCAAGGCCCAAATGGGGACCAACATCCTCGCATCCCTCGGCCTCGCCGAGGGCGGCGAGTTCCTCGTGCACCGCGGCGATGCCGTACCCTTCTCGCGCATCGAGCTCCTGCTCTCGCCGCGCAACAACACGCGTCTCGTCAGCGACGTCAACACGTGGGCGAACACGCTCGCGGACGCGCGCGGCTCGTTCGAGCGGCTCGCGCGGGTCGAGGAGGTGGCAAGGGTGGATATGGACGACCTAAGGGTGAGGGCGTATACGGACGAGGAGACGCTGGCGAACCGCAAGTGGATGGCGCTCGGTCTCGAGCAGACGGTTATGCAGGATATGCTGAATGTTAGTTTCCCGTGCATATCTTCCCCCGCTCGATCCTGTCAAACTGAAATTGCTCGTGTGTTAGAAAATACGAGAAGGCGACGCAAGCGGCGCGCGGATCCTGCGCATCGGGATGGGTTCCCCGATCGCATCCCAGGACGGCCAGGAGGACGGTGCGAGTGGCTCGAGAGGGAGCGGGATGTCGAAGAAGGTCGGCCCGTTCGTGTTCGAGAACACGCCCGGAGACCAGTTCGAAAAGGCGCTGGAGGAAAAGTTAGACGAGCTCAAGCGCCGCAGGGAGGAGACCAAACCTGGCTGGCTGCAGGAACTGCATGCAAAGGAGCAGGAGTCGTAGCTGCTATATTCCACTACTTGACACTATTTGGCGTTTAAGGTGGACGGCGGGGCGGCATGAGCCTTTGGACCAATCAAAAATGGGGCCCAGCTATTGGGGTCCTTTGAGGACCACGTGGCCCTGCTTTTCCCTTTATAGCCAAGGTGGCCGATGCTTGTCAAGGGACTCAAGAGACAGACCTGACTTTGCTTGGATCATGTGGTCTCAAGATGACAACAGCATACTCTAATGCCAGACCTTTTGATAACTTGTGTTTGAGAACCTAAGAGAGGAGTACTAGTGAGTGGACATCTCTCGGGACTTCAGGCCATCAAGTTGAATGCCAGTCGGATATTATTGCCGGAGCACGACTGCTTTTGCAAAATAGATATATATGATGCTGGTCAGAATGTCAAGTGCTCACTTACTACCATCTACGGTAGCGGGCTCTGCCATGCTCGCGCGGCCTTACAGCCTGATATATACTTAATATCATAGACATTGCACCGATGACTTTTGAGACTCAAGAGTATGCACCTAAAATAGCGCGTGGGGTTAAGGTTTGTTCGACCTGCCCTATACTACCCACGAGGCAGGTTAGTATATAAATCGCACCTACCGCAATCCTAGTTCCTTTGGACCCAGATCTCCTTTCGCTCACTCACTGCGACAGTCGACTGGAAGAGTGGTCCCCGGTATCCCGTTGGGTTTGTATTCTCTATCTTCCCCTAAAGGGAGCTCCTACTGACTTGATCGGTGGATTAGGAACCGTCTGGCCTCCCAGGAATGGGAGGTCGTCGTCTTCAAGCCGTTGAGGCTTGTGGATCCGGTCGTAGTGGAATTCCGCTGCGACTGTCAGAGGTGAGGTGCTTCCCCGACTGCTCATCCTGTCAAGGACATCTAACCCGCGTATCATAATCTTTACTAGGTGCCGCGAAAGTGCGACATTCTTTGGAGCGCATATTGTGCTACACACATTGTGTGCGGCGGCCTGCGACCTATGTCGTTGTCCGTAGTAGACCTGTCCAGGTCATCCCCGGCAAATCAAATAACCCAGGCCCCTTAGTATCTGGTGAGTTTTCTCGTGCGCGGGAGGATAGGTAGGTGGAGGCTGATTGCTGTCCGCGTGTGTAGGAGAGCTTAGATGTCAACGTCTTCTATGTGTAGATGCTTCATGTATTCTGCGTCATGGAATTCAGCTCTTCATTGATCGTGATGCAAAGCGTGCATGCCTAAGCGTGTGAGGATGGGAACGATATCCCTACAAGTGGATTAAACCTTGAGTTTAATGCATTGATCGGGGATACGTACATGTGTCAATCTCTTGACCAATGATTACACTTGGAAAGATAGTAACTATATCCTTTGGGGTGTATTGAGGTTCGTTTGCCGTTCGGCTTTCCCTCTACCCTACACGCCCATCCTGGGAAACTGTTTTGGGAAGGTCGGCCTGGGAGCCGCCCGAGGCCCCGGTTTGATGTCGATTGGAGTCCAGTCGAACATTGCTGTGACATAAAAACAGCGGATCGATCTCAGCTCGCAAAATCATGATGTCGTGGGAGCTCAAATCCGAGGTCTCAGAAACACCACGCCGGAACGTCCAGCGGATTGGCAGTTTTTTTTCTTTTTCTTTTTTTTTCTTTTGCTTTTGGCTTTCATGATAGGAAAAGCAGATATATCTTTTGTGGGCTACACTATATACAAGGCACGACCAATGCTACAGTTATACTACTATAGCCTATATATACATACAACATTGATTATACCATGTAGCCTCGCCCTGCCACTGTTCCTGGCTGTAGACAATGACCCCAGAATAGAATGGCTGCAACATACAAGAGAGCAGTTTAACAATCTGAAGGTGACATACACATGAGCGAACACATACCTTTCAACGCAACCCCCGGACTATTATCCACGGCCTCGGATCTGATATGACAGTACACTGTCAAACACGGGACACTTGGGAAATGCTGGTTATACACTCACGGGCCATTGCCGATATATGGCAGGTGGTTTGAGGCGTTGCGGTCGACGCGAAAGCTGCGCGAAAGAGGCGCTGATTGCAGGCTCCTAGAACCATCCGTCTCGCGTCCTCGATCCTCTCTGCTAGGGCGTGTGTGAAGATGTTATCTAATATGGCTTATATAATGTAGTTTATTTATAGTTGTGTTTCCTGATTAAGCCGAACGGTGAGGATGAGGACGCTATGAGACGGCTGGCCCAACTCGTCGTCCGAGGTTTTACCGGAATTATGTAAGGCGGCTAAGCGACTAACGACGCGTCGGTTTATTGACGTTCGTCGACTGCCCGATTTGGATTTCGAGGTGGCTTTCTCGTCGCACCTCAGCCGCCCTTCGAGCATCTCCTCTGCTCGCCGCGCGTCGACGGGGACATGGACATTGTAGCTGTCAATAACAGAATATTGTATATCTGAATTGTTGACTGCATGTACTTCCAGTGAGCATGAGTAGGTACGGGAATCCCCCCACTTCAACAAAGAAAGCAGTGAACAGTTATTTACCACAATAGTGCGGCAGCTACTGTCTCTGTATTTTTATCAAAGTTAAAGTAGATTTATATACACAATCTTCAAAGGTCTGGGGTTACTTTGCATCGAGGAGCCTGGTACTTGCACTTTTCAATGTATATAGAATAATCTATTCATCGAAATACATCGAAAATACAGAGCAACAGCTACTCATGCATTACTACCAAAACAGTGTTTTCTATTTAAAGATTAGATTGTATGCCCCGCCATCGACGCGCGGCGAGCAGAGGAGATGCTCGAAGGGCGGCTGAGGTGCGACGAGAAAGCCACCTCGAAATCCAAATCGGGCAGTCGACGAACGTCAATAACACTGGGTACATCACCCATATTGAGCATGCAGAAAACTGTGAAATTAACGGGTCAAAGGTCAAACTTTTTTCATGATTGTCCATTGCACAATCAGTGAACCGAATTAGAATAATACTACTTTTGAGTGTGCAAAAATCTGATTGTGACACAGGATATGTTCTTTGTTCAGCACTATTCATTGAACTTTCATATGTTTTGCAAGGCAACACTATGAACAAAATTTGACCTTTGACCGGTTTCAGTCACACTTTCTCAGTGGCTCAATATGGGAATTGCACCCAGTGTAAACCGACGCATCGTTAGTCGCTTAGCCGCCTTACATAATTCCGGTAAAACCTCGGACGACGAGTTGGGCCAGCCGTCTCATAGTGTCCTCATCCTCACCGTTCGGCTTAATCAGGAAACACAACTATAAATAAACTACATTATATAAGCCATATTAGATAACATCTTCACACACGCCCTAGCAGAGAGGATCGAGGACGCGAGACGGATGGTTCTAGGAGCCTGCGCTGATTGTGGCGAGACGGTGTGGTGGCAGAGGAAGACGACGGTGAAAACTTCGAGTTAACTCGCTCGGGATTTAAGCTCCGCTCAAATTCGGTCTCGCGCCGCCAGACGCGAAATCTGCTAAGTCCCTCCAACCACTGTTTATCCTGCAGTCACCATTCGTCTGCCCTACAGGCTCCCATAATTAAATGCTAAAATGCTATTTACATTCTGTATCATGTAGCAGGCAATGTGCCACCAGTAGTAGTACAGCATTCACTGGATAATACAGGCAGTGACATCCTACCCAGGCATAGTATAATCTTGAGGTCATCGCCCGACCTCCGATGGACCTCCCAGCTAACGTCCCTGTGATGTCCCACCGGGAATCTGCAGACGAGCTCAGACGCGACACCTGTGACAGATCCTGATGGCCATGGACCGATCTGCCGGCCCAAAGGCTTAAAGGAGCTGGACTCAAGGTCTCGCGGACCTTTGAGGGAAACATCTGCGTGAGACTCAGGGCGGGAGATCCCTGTAACCTCAGGAAGGGTTGGGCGTGTACATGAGGTGGGTGGGTATATAAAGTCTGTCCACTGGTGTTCAGGGTTTCTTCGGGCCCTCACACCTCCCTTCGCTCACTCACTGCGACAGTCGACTGGAGGGGGGGTCCCCGGTGGTCCATCGGGTTTGTATCCTCCGCCTTCTACTGGAAGACGCTCCTACTGATTCGACCGGTGGACTAGACCCCGTTTTACCGATCAAGCGCCTCAGCGACTGGTTGGTAGTAGCGTTCAAACTCCCACGGGTGATTTGAGCGCAAGGACAGTCGACTGCGCCGTAGCCCAGTCG